TAAGTGACTAGCTAGTAGAATATCATCTACGTCGTTAGCGTTAGTGTTTTGCACGAAGTAGCCTCGGGTGATTTTGATGCGCATGAAATGGAGGAATTCGGAGATATATTTAGAAGGCTACGTATATGTCGAGAAGTGTTTTGTCTAGCCTTGCTAACAGATGAAAGGGATTCGTGACCTGGTCTGGATGTGTGGCTGAAAGTCTTCATCTAGGTGTGCCAAGTAAAGCTACTGAGTTCGGCATCAATGGCGAAGACTTACAGAACTATTTATTTTAGGGATTTATTTACAGCTACAAATGCTTTGCCTTATTATCTTTTTTTGTGATAAGCCGATGGGAAATATGAGGATTCGAATAGGTCTTTTTGTTTCATTGGCAAAACTTCTAGGTGTAGAGTAGTCCATCTGAGATGTGCTGCAGATTACAAATAGAACTTCGGTAACTTATCTCTGGAAGTATCTCGAGTTGAGAAATATCTAGAAGTGTTAGTACCCTAAGATCTGAAACCTTACGTTATCTGCGACATAAATGCCCTCCGAGCAAAATTAGTGTGAGGACTATCAGAAGAGATAACCTCTAGCCCTTCAGTAAACTCATTCAAGAAAGATAATACTCACAGTCAATACTAAAAAAATTAATATTGGCATCTGACTCAACGAAATGATTATAAATACCAAGGGCTACAGTGAGGGTAAATTTTAAAAGGACGGGATAGTTCAGTTTATCTCATCCGTTTTATCCATTTTTGTCCGTTCTCACTGTGTTTTTTAGTGTGTTTTTTACGGTCTTAAGCTTTTGCTAGCATCTACAACACAGTTTACGTCAATACAATCATGAAAATTCATGCAAACTACCTGTATGCCGTTTGCTGTTACATCTGGCATGCAGTGCGACAACTGCAATGGTTGGTTCCACGAAGCGTGCACAGATCTCACAGCAACTACTTACAACAGACTCAGCAAGTCGGATCATAAGTGGGAATGTGTTACGTACATCACGGATGCTTCAGTCTTGCTGAGTAATATCATTGTCCTACTGACAGGTGTGCAGAGTAAGTTGTCGGCAAACTTGGGAAAAGACAGTCGAAAAATGGCTAGACAAACAAGAAAGCGCATTGAAAACGAGAACAGGGATGTCGACAGGTCTGCCAACGACGGAGCATGCGACAGCATTAATGATGACACGCTGAAACTCAGCACCATGATAACGACGACGGTACTCGACTCCCTCAGCAAACTTGGATTTCACAGCTCAAGGTCCTTGGACGCGACAGTGGTTCCCAAAAACTCTGTAGATGATTGGACCCATGTCAAAAGAGCTAAAAAGGGCCAGGCATCACCGCCTAAGCCGAGCAACACAAGTGTTGCTGTACGGAAAATAACTGGTGATTTGGTCGCACAGTCTACACCCAAGATTGTCCGTCCGGTCATCAAAGAGCCAAAGATTCATTAACGTGCTTCGACTACCAAACAACAAGGTGCTAAACCTGAACGCACCGAAAACCTGGGACGACAATAATGGTTCGTGATGACTCTCTCATAGTCCTGCACTTCAAAGACAACCCTGACCTTCCTCTCAGTTTGCAGGACAAAAACGATAGGATGCTCTGGGGAGAATTGAACAAGAAACTTGGACTTCCAAGAATAGAGCATTTGGTAGTCACACAGCTCACTTGGGGAAAGGAATCTAAGCATCAAAATCACCCGAGGCTACTTCATGTAACACTTAAGAATGCTACCGACATAGAGGATGTCTTACTAGCAAGTCATTTACTGAAATCAGATGGGAATGTAGAAATACTGCCTGACATACCGTATTCTGAGCGCAATATCATCCGGAACATCCACAAAGAATCTCGCGATCAGTTTTTTCGCGGGAGGAATATAATCGTGCAAGGTATACCGGAAAATACGGACACTACTCAATCAAATTCTGACATCAGGGGATGGAAATTCATCAAACAGTCCTTGAGGCTCAAACACATACTGACTCAGCATGTGACGAGACTAGCCAAGAAGAATGGTGATCCTAGACCCTGTCTAATGAAGATAATCTTCCCATCTTCCCATATGGCGGCTGCAACTCTGGAAGCATTTCGTGCCAACAGACGTCAACTGCCACCTATAATCCACATGCACCCGGATAGGCCATACGAAGCTAGGACCAAACGCAAAGTCAAGTTGGAGCTAATCATTCCACTTGTGGACTGTCTAGACGATAAAAAAACGTGCAAAGGACAGGGCCTACCACCTCGGCAAACCTCATATAGGTGGGCTACCTATCCATTGACGTAAAGCTCATATAAACAAACAGGAAGAAGCTCACGCGTTTCAAATTGAAAGCATAAACTGCTTATATATGAACGCCGCGAGTTTACCAAACAAACTGGATGAACTGCGTGAACTTAGCAGTGCTAATAAGGTCCATCTGATAGGAATATCTGAGACCTGGATATCTTCTCAGTTTTCGGACCATGTGTTAGCATTACCTGGGATGTCCTTGTTCCGCAATGACAGAATATCAGGATATGGGGGCGGAGTAACTGTTTAACATACGTTCTTGCTTGGAGGTACATCAAGTTCATATCCTCGAGTTTAACAATCTTGAGGAATCTTTATGGTGCTCTGTAAGATTGTCCAGTACTTCGAGGTGTCTAGTCGGAGTCATTTACAGGAAGCCAACTGCCGACATCGAGTACGATAGTCGTATGCTGGAAGGACTATCCCGCTCTACTTGTCTCGGTTTCACACACATCCTGACTCTAGGGGACTTTAATCACTCTAGAGTCAACTTCGCGGAACACACGTACACTGGAGGCGACAACTTGATTGAAGCTCGGTTCTTCAACCTAATCGATGACTTGGGCGTTTATGAAAATGTGAGGTCGGCAACTCGTTGGAGAAGCAGTCAGACACCATCGCGCTTAGACTGTGTATTCACAAACGAAGAATATCTAGTTTACAACCTCTCAATCCTGGCTCCTCTGGGAAAGATCGATCATGCCGTCATAGCCTTCAGTTTTCTCATCAAAACTAAGCTAAGGTATCCCAACAATAATTTGCGTTGGAATTTTAAACGGCTGAATGTGCCAGCTCTACACGACTATCTACAACAGGTGGTTTGGGATGTTCACCCCAAACTCGATGTGGACGGTCAGTGAGACTTCTTACTGCACACGCTCTTACATGCTACAAACCATTCAGTTCCTCAAACGGTTCCCAAAATCTGCAATAATCAAGAACCATACCCTTTGCCTGTTAAGTCGCAAAATGCATTGTTGGGCGGAATACAAACGAACTGACAACGACGGAGCGTACAGGCAATATAAACATATCAGGAACATATGCACGAAGGTTATAAGAGAAGAAAGGTTTCAGTACCAGACAAAGCTTATGGACGAATTTGCCTCTAATTCTAAAAGCTTATTCTGCTATGCAGCCTCTCTTCGTCAAGTCAAAACAGGAGTTTCCCAACTGTTAGGTTTTAACGGCCCGACCAACAACGATGGCGACGCCGCTAACCTTCTGACGGCACATTACTCTCAAACATTTCAGCCGGCTGACATCAACTTTATTGACGACAGTTTCATCTGCGATTCCACAGAACTTTCCGAAGTGAACCTAAGCGCTGACTTGATGTTCCGGAAACTGCAGCACTTAAGACTAAATACTTTTCCTCGCACGGATATGGTTCATTCTGCCATACTGATGGAAGTAGTCTCAATCCTGGCAACGCCACTTAGCGTGATGTTTTCACACTCGCTAAGCCGAGGCAAATCTAGGTAGATGACCTAGATTTCTCAAAAGCTTTTGATAAGTTTAACCATACATGACTTATCAACAAGCTCAAACGGTTGGGTATTAGACCACCTCTAATCGATTGGCTCACTTCATACCTGAAAAATCGACATTTTAAGGTTAGGGTTAATTTCACTTTATCTTAGGCTATGGAATGTCCTAGTTGGGTCCCTCAGGGATCAGTACTAGGGCCTTTTCTCTTCTTGATCTACATAAATGATCATCCTCAACAGGTAACGTCAGACTTATTACTTTTTCCCGACGACATGAAACTTTGGAGAGAGATACGCAACCAAGACGATACACAGGCATTTCAGGAGGATCTGACTCGACTTCAAAGTTGGGCAGACGATAACGGACTTACCTTTAACACTTCAAAGTGTAAAGTAGTCCATCTGTGACATGTCGCAGACTACAGTTATAACTTAGGTACCTCCTCTTTAGTAGCATCCCAAATCGAAAAAGATTTAGGAGTCCTGGTGTCCTACGATTTGAAGTCTTACGCTAACTGTGACAAAAATGCCTTCCGAGCAAACCTTGCACTGGTAACATTGAAGCGCATTTCTGGCCAGTTTGACGGAAGAACTTTCCATATAATCTTCAATAGTTTTATCCGTCCCCATTTAGAGTACGGAAACATAGTACTCCCCCCTCACTCCAAGAGGACAAGGTCATTTTGTAGCGTATCCAACGGCGAGCCACCAAATCAGTTCGAGGACTCAAATCTAAGCCTTACGAAGAACGCCTCCATTCAATAGACCTTTACCCATTAGAGTGTAGGCGTCTTAGAGGTGATTTATTAATGGCTTATAGTATTCTTAACACTTCTGGACATCCTCTTAAACACCTACTTAAGCTTAATTTGAATAATAACCTAAGGGGTAACACCCAAAAACTGGACACACAACATAGCAAGACGGATTGGAGACACAACTTCTACTTCTTAAGAGTTGTCGAAAGCTGGAATTCGCTGCCGGCCGAGCTAGTCCAAGCGACTTCTCAGGAGTCCTTTAAGAGGCAACTTGATCTATTCTTAAGGACCAAGGATATTATCACACTATGCTTTACCAATTTCTTTTCCTCTTTTATTGTTAACATACCTAGGTTCCTGCCTGGAGGATTTGGTGATCCCCTGCTACTAGACACGGAAGCCTGTTAAGCGAAAGCTTCTTCTATTCCATCCACAACCATTTGAACCATTTGAACCATAGTTTGTTGGGCGCGGTTTGTGTGTTTGTGACGCATTCGAGACCTAACGCTACCAACTCGTTTCCATTATCAGATTGATATAATCTTACCACTTCGTTAATACTGACTGTCGTTGATTGTTTAGATTATTAAACGTAAGTGCATAGCATATAATCAGAGTTGTCGGCTCACTTTCTTTTATTCTTTAATCCAGTATTCACCATAAATTGCTTCTCATACATTTCCCAACACACAGAGTGCTTTAAGTCTGGACGCAAAACTGCAAAAAGCTGAACGTCATGAAGACAAAAGAGTCTCTGAAAAAACTACAGGATGCTGACAAAGTTTTTGATTTAGTGCAAAGGCTTTCTTCAGAAGACAGTGCAGTTGCTAGCATAGCTTGCAAAGAAGCTGATGATTTTCTTAAACAAAAGTGCAGTGATGGCAAGTGCTAATGCTAATTTCCATTTTACAGTAACTATAGGTTTTGACAGATCTGTTATCAATAAATTGGACCAACCTTCAAAAAACTTAGGTAATACATATTATTTGTGTCTTTCACTTGAAATACGTGCGTAGAGTTGTTTCTTGTCTTATTTAGTGGTTTATTCCTTATTAACGGGAAACGATCAATATTGGTTGGGTCCGCTATTTGTGTCGTGTTTTTAGTGATGCCACTTAAAATGAGTTCAGGGCTAACAGACACGATTTCATTGTAATTTTGACTAATTTTAATCCCCCATTCACATGGCGTACTCCATAAATACTTGATATTTTGAGTCATTAAGAGGAGCTACTACACTGATATTTTCACGTCATACTCATGAAGTTCTTGGAGTACTACTCGTGAAAACTTCTATTCACTTACTAATGTACATCGAAATCATATATATGCACATCAATAATCAAGTCCCAGCTACTTCTCTGTAAAAAGAATAGTGTTTGACAAAAATCCAAACTTGGCACCGCTGATGTGAGCTTCATCTCCACTAGATAGCGTTTCCTTCATCTGAACTGCAGTCAGTATAGTTTTCCAAGAAAATATTGGTGCAAATATACTGGTATAAGGTTGCGTTAGCCATAAATTAAAGTTTTATTATCTTCAGAGTTTTGTTTCGGAAAATCACTGTTTCTTGTGTTCCATAACTGGAGATTTTCGGATTACTGAGTGTTAAGTCAGTGGTCTGTGCATACAAATAAGGTAGTCAAAAACCATAATAATCCCAAGTTTCTAAAGACTGTAAACTTAATGTTCAAAATACAAATGATTTACCCACGTGAAAATATTTGCCCAATTAATGAAGATTAGATGTTATTTTGCCGTAAAAATTGAACAATCAAAAGCTTTCAACCAGTCGAAAATGTTAGTCACATATCAGGCTAACATTTGATTGAAGTATAATATCTTCTATGAATATGTTTGAGATACAAATAGGATGAAATTCACTATTATTTATTATTTATTTGTTTATTTCAACACATAGATAATGGTACAAAGAGGCACCAAATACATATGCGCCACACAAATCTCATTCGATATGTGTGACGGCTGTGATACTGCCCGGGTACCCAAACCGAAGCAGGTGGTTTTCTTAGGGGGCCACGCCCCGAGCCTTCGACCTGAAGGTCTGATCCACAAGGCAGTGGAGCATCGTAAGGAGATGCAGTCCCATGGAAGCCGGTGACCAACAATTGGTTCATTCGCCATTTGTTCCCGCAGGATACTGGAGCCCATGTGCACCATTGGTTTGGAATCCGGTTAAAGCGCCGGACATTCGCTTTTCGTCCTCTCATTTTCGTAAACAACACCCCCGCCACGAGAAGGCAGTGAGTAGGACTTCCCTCTGCCAGGGAAGTCCTACTCACATTTGTACAAGAAGGCACCAAACATATATCTGCGACACATAAATCATTCGATTTGTGCGAGGGCTGGGATACTACCTGGGTGCCCAAACAGAAGTAGGATAAAATTCATAATATTGGACGTCCATCATACTCCCTATCACCGACTTTCTGCAATTGCAAAACGAATTTCTCAAAATCAGATGTAATAGTTGTAATTTCTGTTCTATAGTGTAATTAAAAACTCAATTGTGACCCTTCAATTTTAAACCTTCCTAACTTTCTTTGAACACTCGGTCGCTCGTCATCAGCCTAGAGTCTGGTCACCATAAACGTCCTCGGAAATGTCATCTCATGATTGACCTTTTTTATTCCAGAAAGCTGATGGGGTTTGATATTTACACGTGGATTTGAAGTAGGACTTATTTGTGAGCACATCATTTCTGTTTGTGAAACTAAGTTTGGACCATGATCAATCCAGGATTCCGGGCTATATCTTAATCACTACTCATCATCACTCCCATATGATCAATTTATTCAGCAAGTTTCATTCGTGCCAGTTAAATTTGATCTCTTATTATATCGAAAGCTCGTTCTGAATAATTTTAGTAAGTTTTGCCATGATCCGATTCTAGTTTATATAGAAAAAAGTGCTTTCGTTCTGGGTCTACGGCTCATCTTAATGGACTAAAGTTGATATAACTTCGTTCAGCGATCATACTTAGTCGTTGTCTCCTCTTTTCGTATGCTTTGTATTCTTCGTCAACTTGTGAACGGTTTAGATACATTCGGATAAATAGTTGATAATGATATAGAGATTAATTTCCTTATACTTTTTGTTGTACTCCTACCCCTTCGTTTAGATCTGTGTACACTTTTTTCTTTCATAATCAGGATAGAACTAGGCACAAATGTATGTTGACCTGCTTTGTCATTATTGTATAAGCAGGATAAAATGAAAATAACAAAATGAATGGCAAAAGTGATCGAAATAATGTGGCAGGGATGGTAGTGAGGAAGGTTGAACATTAAAAATGTGGTTCGAAAAGACAGAGTGAAAAAGTCTATATCAAGGAATGCTTCAACTTAGGATAAATAATGAATGCATCTGCTCCATTGCAAATGATTCTGATCGATTTCACTCAAAGTCCCCGACTACTGATCATGATTATCATGAGGACCCCAACCAAGTAGTCTGCATTTACCAAAATGGCTCAGACCAACAGTCAGTGACTTCATCGACTGATACAATGTTCTGGCTTAGACGCCTACAGAATTCTTCCATCTTACTCCTGCTCTACCCAACATTTCATGTCGAGATTGTCAGTGGTTGGTCATGATTGACACGTTCAGGCCAACTTAGTTAATGAAGGTTCACAACTTCACCAACCTATTTGTCAAGTGTTCCTGGTACTTAACTCACTCGGTCGTTCCTCAAAACATGAACAATGTTTCTAAGACACCTGTGATCAAAAATGTGAGGTGTATGTGTGCCTTTTACTTTCAGTCATAAAGTAATATAGAGCGGATTGTTGTTCAGTTTACACACCCTTTATTTGGTAAATGGATATCTCTCCAGCGCTACAAGTAACACATGTTGGCAAATGCCAACCCTAGTTTCTGAATCCGTGCTGAAATTTTGTCGGGCGCTAACCCACCAGTGCTGAAAGGACTTACAAGATAAGTGGTGTTATGAATAGAAAAACATCTGTGGCGGTATCAGGTAAAAATAGGGATAGTAGATCTCCATTACAAAAGCATAGTGTTTTCATTTTATTAAACAGGGACTATATATTTATTATACATGAGTTTAGTATTCATAGCTTTATTGTTAAAAAATCATTTCTCCCGAAGAACACCTAGGTGTAGTTCAGTTGACACTGCTCTTATTATTCTTACCCGTTATCTTATTCAGATGAGAAACAGTTTTCATATTCATTTCCCATGGAAATTTAACTAAAGAGCGTGTATGAATTTACATTCACTATATGTAAATGATACAATTTTCTTGTGTTATGTAGTTACTGGTTTTGGAACTTTTCCACACAGATGATGTAACTGGAAAAGGAGATGATGTGACTGCATTTATGACTGCGGTTGCACAAGACGCACAAGAACGTGCTGAGCGACGAGCTAAACAACGAGAACGTGCGGATAAACTCAAGGATCGTGCAAATACATTTTTCAAGGCTGGAAACTGTAAAAAAGCTGTTGAGTTGTATTCACAGGCAATCGATGTGGCAAAGGATTACGATATTTTATATACTAATAGAGCTCAAGTAAGCTACAAGTAAAACTGGCAGCAATTTTTCATACCAATTAATTAAGAGATAGGTATGGTTTATAATATGTTCTAGCCTTTACACGATGGTGTCTTCTTATATCCTTCAGCGTTTTTACCTTTTTAGATAAACTTCAACAAAAATTTCCATACCCAATTCTCATATCTCTATATATTTACGGTTTTACTCCCGCTTAACTCCGCCGGACAAGCAATCTATATTTATCACAACTTTTTTTGAGGTCCATTCCTTTTTCTGGTAGTTAGTGGGTGGCTACTGAATTGTCTTATATGATATACTCTCACCCATCGTACATCATAGTATTCTGTCAACTTCACACAGAACTCCTTCATGAGTTTAACAAATGATCCCTTTAATGAGTTTGACAACACATTATATTTCTACATGAAAGGTTAACAACTTTTTAATAAACTGGAATATACATTGTGTTGCATTCTTATCGTTTTCTTATTCGTCATGAGAATAATTTTTATCAGAATCATACAACATATCAGGGTGATATATTTTATACAATTTGATCACATATTAGGTTGTTAGTGCACATAAAAAGCGCAAACAAATGAGATGTATGGGAACATCAAAAAAATGATAATAAGAGACTGTTATTCACACTGTCCTTAACGCTAAGATTAAAGTCCATATTATCAAAGCTTAATTTTAGTACAACTATTTTCTGAATACACCATGGAGGTTTAAATTTTCATAAGTTTCGGGTTTCAATAAATATAGTTATTTGACTCAGATCACCTTTCTATATCAATACGAAGGGTGTTTTTAAAACAACCCATGACCAGTTTCGTCATAGTTTAACTTAATTGCTTATAATCCGTTTTTACTGGGATGCTGGAGTAAATTTGTCTTCGCAGCCATAAGGGTACATATTCAACCATCATATAGCAAATAAAGTATTTCATTTCTCCAAGATTCTATCCGTTTCATTACAAAGGTTGGAATACAGTTCGTCTATCGAAATCAAATGGACATGCACTGAAAATATAAAGGAACTCACCAACCCTTTTGGAGGAAATACTAGGAATGAGTGAAAAAACCATGAGCTGTACTTCGTACCTCGGAAAAGTTCATATTTAACTTACTGTTGAACTAGTAGCACTCCAGAATATATTTCCCAACTACTAAGCGGTTAGAGACGTTTGATAAGGCTACTGAAAGTCTCTCACAGTGTCGCAGTTGGGTTCATTCCTTACCTTCCTTTAAATTTTAAGTTGAGTGTTATTCCGTGCTTTTTATTCTTTGACTTCATTTGTCCCTCGAAATTTACTACGCATTCTGCACAAATCCACGATGTCACTTTCGAATTTGATTTCATTATTCAATAAACCAACTTTTTATAAGTAGTATGTACGTACACTAGCAATGCATACTTTGAATTAAATTTCTTTAAACGTTTCATGTATTCTGACTGCATTGGTTGTGCCTCCTACTCTTAGAGTATTAAAAAATCGCTGCAATTAGCTGATTATTTTATCATATTCCAGAATTTTCTGCTTATTCTACACGGAACATAAATGACAAAAAATCAAGGTTATCTTTTGTCCTTCCATAGAGATTTCACTAGAAATCAGAATTAATGTAACTCTGAAATGGTCCTTGCACGCAATTAATTTACTACCGATTTTTAATTTAAGCATAGACTGATCTGTATGCAACTGTTTTTCTATTTGGGTTTTAAGAATAACTCACCGTATTCATGCATCACTCAATAGGTTCAGAAGATCACATTTCATTAAAAGTCTCATGTGACAAAAATTGAGCAGCAGTTGACAGTACGCTTATGTTTAGATGTATCCCGTATTAATTAATATAGATTCTATACATCATCAGGGTACTAACAGGTCTCTAATAACAGAGAGCTTAATAACAGTTTATGTAAATTGTATGGGAATGTTTTTTATCATAATGAATCTATATTAAGTCGAAATTTCAGAATTACTTCGTTTAGACAGGTTGTTAATATCTACTGAACCATTAATGATGTCAGTTGTTCGCGGGAGTAAATTACTTCTAATCATATATCAATGTTTATCGATATGCTATAACCCTGAATGCTTTTTCAATTATGATCATGTAAGCACATTAAATGGAGACCATGGAAATTCCCAAGCCTTTCTTGCCTCAAAACAATGCTAGACTGGCATCAGTTAGTGAACATTTATCGACTTTCTCACTTTACTGATGTCTTGTTCTGCTTCATACCGTTCTGTATCTTGTAAAAAAGTAGACACTTTTAATGATTAGTTAATGTTATTTGTTATAAAATCATTTGACAGTTGTTATGTAAGTTGTGTCCTTTTTTCAAGTGAAGTACCTATTTGCTTCATAATATATTATGACATTATTCTAGTCACACTATAATTATGACGACACAAATTTTCCTTGTATAATCGGTCTGAGAATTACCAGACATCCGTCATTTCAAAAAAAGCGTTGTACAGTTTTTCATAGGACATTAAACCATCTTCGATCTATTGACAGAGATTTTTATGGACATTTATCACACTTAACCGTAAACACACGTATACATTCACATAATAACAATATTCTTTAAGTTTTCGGGCATATTTTTCACAAATTAATCACTTTTCAGGGTTAAATACTAACTTTAGAAACCCTTACAATTAAAAACATTCACCTATGTTGTTCCTGCATCGATGCTTTTATTTTCGGGTTCTCTTTCTTAATATTTAGGCCTATCTTCGTCTTGGTCAGCCTGATTTATCACTAAAAGATTGTGACACTGCCTTACTACTATTTCCAGAAGCTCAAAAACTGAATTCTGATATGAAATCTACAATGGTGAATAATAATAATCGCGATGTTGTTTCTAATCCTCGTCTAGCTAAAGTTTATTTACATCGTGGTAAAGCATTAATGTCCCTTAATCGACCATCAGAAGCACTTTCCGCATATTCATTATCTCGTTATTATTCAGCATCAAAAACTGAAAAATATACATCGACAAAACTGAATAGTGAAAAATGGCCAAATTATTTAATTGAATATGTTTCACAAGCTGAAGCTGCTTTGATTGCTCAAGAAGCTGATGCAAAAGCTGAAGCAAATTTCGCCCAATCAGCCATAGGCTTTAAATTAAATGTGAATGATGAAAACTCGAATAATATTCCTTCTAGGTTGGTGATCTTTGTCTAATCCTCTTTTCTTTTTAGTTTTAGTCATTAATATCAGGTTTATGCTGATTCTTCGTTGTAATCTATATATTTTCTTATATTTTGCTAGTACAGGCAAGTAAGTTTGAGACAGCTGGTGAAATCGCATCTACTACCTTAACGTAGTAGTCGGGGTAATTTATTGTGATGACCTAACCGAGTTATGTCGACTGTAACACTTGTTTTTACCGTACCAAGCAGGTCAGTTGAAGAACAGCGACTAAAAGCAGCAGTCTAAGTTCCGATGGTCAAATCATATGGCTAACCGTACTGAAGTAAAATGTTTCTCTCAGCAAACCAGCGTCTACATAGTTACTGCCTTCTCAATGGAAAGGAGTTGAAGAAAAGTCGGCCCTAAAAATGTCACGCTTTACTTCACGGCTTTCTGTTTCCGACTGTAAGGCTTTTTAAAATTCAAGGCTAACAAATGAAGAACTTCTCATAAGGAGGCCGTGCGCTACCTGCCTCAAGAAGTTGTCTCTTTGGCTCTATAGTCAAGCTACGAGGTCCCTACGATCACAACTAATCAAATTTCCGTTTCAGAAATTTCCTTCCATAGCGTGTTCAGTCAGAAAGTGATGATCGTCTCCACCCCTTTGACAGCATCCAAAATCATGTTCACAACATGGGGATCCTCATTAGTGCGAATCCATTTCTCCACCGGAAGTCAGACTTGGGACCTTTTAATAACTAAATGGTCATCCAAATGTGTATATTTGTAACTGGTATTTTAATTCTTGCTAAAACGTAAAAAGGATTATTCAATAACCCATAATATAATCTGATTAGTATGACTGCTCCATAATTGTTTAATATGTTTTTTTACATTTTTTAATGTAAACAGTTTTTGATTTATTGTATGACATGATGAAAGTTACAAGGTTAATTATTTGATTAGGATGTGATCAATTGATAATTGCTTACAAGACTAAGTCGGCTTTAATCTATTACATTTACCAATAATTCCCAACTGAACTACAATATAAAAAAAGTAATGATTAGTCAACAACATCAATCACAGTTGTATTTCTTTTAAATTTTGAAAATAAAATTTCACAGATTGTGGAGAAGATTTGTAGCTCGGGTGGATGATTTTGATGGAGTTTTGTTGTCTGAGCTGGTTGGTTTGATCGTGGAGCTTTCATCGTTCTTCTAAACGAAATCATCAGCACAAACTTCAGATAGAAGTTTGAAACCTGAAGTTTGTGCTGATGATGTCATTCAGACGAACGATGAAAGCTCTATGACCAAACCATCCAGCTCAGAGAACAAAACTCCATTAAAATTTCATACTTTCTTATGATGTAAAATTATAAGATAACGTTTTTCATTTGTATATAGATATATAATACATAGCCAATAGTCTATTCAATGTAAAAGTAAATTTGTAGCATCGAATGATTGTTCATTTTATTCCATTCATGTTATATGACAGTACTGATTTTTTTTAATTTTTCGAAAAGTTAGTTTTATCCTTAAAAACTTGTGTGACTTAAAAAAAATTTCAGCATTAGTTTCCTTCAATAAAGATGTTCTATAGTAATGTCTGTCACTGTAGAGTGTTAGATAAATAAGTCATCAGTTTCCCAGGAGCTTTCTTTGGTTTTACATAAACTTATAGAATATGAGTAGTGATTTTCGTTAGAGATATTCAGCTGTCCTACTTTTTTTCAAAGAATCTTACTTTATCGTGAAAATTACTTGCATAGCTCTATTTAAACGTAGAGTCTTCGGATCAATACTAGAGATCTAACCAAACCGTAGATCGAACAATATTGACTCTTAATAATTTTGGGTAAAAAGTTGAATAAATTGGTGGTTCTGTAAACCCCATGGTTACTGGAGCAAATTTTCTTGTAAAAATTCACTTTTGTCACCCTTGTTATTACAGCCTGTTATCGAATACACCCACGTAAAGCTTGTTGACATTTATTATTTATCGGTTACCACTAGTAATTTTGAAGATACGTAATTTAGCTCTTAGTGGAGGAGACTCACGTGAATATGTTTGTTGTCGATTTTGTCATTTAATTATAAAGTGTGAATTAACTTGGCAAAATAAGCATTTGGCAAGTAATAATAAGACTCACATGTTATTTATTGTTCAGCCCAATGACAAAGGTGCGTGAAACTATGTTCGCAAGTTTTAGGAAGTGTGATCAATGGTTCTCTATTTTTTTGATTTATTGCTTTCTTTAATCTATCTCATTGAATCTATTTAAAATTATGAATCATTTATTATTTCACCGCAATCTAAGTTTAGCTCTTTGAACCTTCCCTCCTTTCAGTTATATACGTCTTTTAAACTTAGTATTGTCGTCTAGTTTTTACATTCGTAATCACAATAGTATCAGAATTATCTAGTGTTTTGTGATATCTTTTTAGTTGTTACAGGCTTATTTCTTTTCCGTTAGTGAGTAAACTAACCAATATATGCTTTATAAAAACTCATCATTTGGAATGGAAACCATGTTTGATGTAGTTTTTTGTCACTCCATGTTAATTCATTCTTTCAAGTATAAACTCGATGAGAGTTTCGTAATTTATATTCCCGCAATAACATTTACTGTCACCTGGTTTGTCGTTACCGCTTTTACTTTGCTTAATTGTGTGCTCCAAGTTCACTACGCGGCGATATAAAAACAATGTTGTTCCATTTCAATTTTCGACGTCTATACGAAGCGTAGTGTTATCCTGAAAGTCCCGTTTCCTCTACCTCCATTAGCGTATGGATGATTAACGTTTAAGTGTTGTTGCGATAAACGTCCGATCTATTCGAATTCCTATTCGTTGCGTCGCATTGAAAAAATCCTCGTTAAAAGTATATTTTAATGATGGCTTTGAGTTGACTAGTAGGAATTAAGATAACGGCCTATACATTTTGCGCGAGATATCAAACTAAGCGAGAAGACAAGAGTGGAAGAGAAAGTCTATTGGGCTACCGAACGATATGCATAAATACTTATGTACATATTTCTATCCCTTAGAAAATGAACCCACTTCTTAGCAAATGATATGTGGTTGTCCTTCAGGTCATTTTTGGTTGTGTTCAAGTGAACTCATTTGGCTACTTTTGATTGGTTTACTATGATGAATCGCCCTACGTCGTCAGTATATCGTATCCTTACTGGATCTTCATTCGTTCGTAAATAGAATTTGCTGTAGGTCAACCGAAAAACCAATAATTTAATCGTTCTTATAAAGATTTACCTCGTATATCTGTTATCTATATTTTGAACTGTTCAGACCGAAATAAAACGATTGTCTGTCAAATAATTATTTAGAATACAGAGTTGTTCAGCTCTATATCAAATAAACACTTGGTGACATCACTAATACAGGAAATAGTTTTTACAAAACCACTTAATCTAAAGTTTTTATCAAATGTGTTAGATCAAAACTAGAATGCTCTTCGATATTTTCTTAAAGTATTTATTCGTGATTTTATCACTTATTTTGTACAAACATCAGGGATCTAAATCGTCGATTTTATAATAACTATGTAATGCAATTGAGTATGTCAAGCACAGGTTCATTTACTACGCTTTGGGACACTGCTTGTGTATAACGGCTAGTGATACCATCCAAACCTAAATAAGTGGGACAGGTTTCAATCCCGGGACTTAATGTGATCTGAAATGAAGTGCTTAAATCACTAATCTAAAATGATAAAAAAGTCACTGTGGTAATAATTGCTAATAATAATAATAATAACGGTAATAATGTCTTAGATTAAAGAGATCTTAACACAGTAAATTTCATTTGTAAATATTACTATAGTTTTCAAATCACTTCTCAAGAAACATGCCTACTTTCTTTTTTAGCCAACAACTTTTAAGTCTCCTAGCTCAATTAGCTCGAAGAAATCAAAATTCTAGATACTATAGCGCAGGGTTACGCTATATGAATCGTCTTTTTATGAATGCCCCGAAAACTAAGCCTACAACAATCACAGAATTAAACAATACAGTTTACGACTCGAAAATTGGACTTTCAGAATCTTTAAACTGTAATTCAGAAAAAAAGAAATCTAATAAAAAAAGCAAAGGTGCACAACATAACTCACCAGTGTCTGATGATTCCAATAGTATCAACAGCGATAATCATCTGTCCACTGAAACTTTGTCAGAGCTACAAACGATTTTTCGCATAAAAAGTGGATTTAGTCTTCTGGGTAAAGAAGTTGATGTAAGTTTCATTTGTACCTGGAATTTTATGAATAGTAAAGTCTTTACACCCACACACATTATTTACCAACCAACCAATCACAGTTATACAACACCATTATCTAACTTTGCGCCATTGTCATCCATTCCAAACTTTATTATTGAATATTCCGGTCTAACAGTTTGTAGTATTTTAAGAATTTCGATCTATAGATCTCCAGTTTAAATCATAAATACACGAAGAGTAATGCCATTTTTAGTCAGGTTATGCGAAATACTGCTTTGATCACAAGTTTATAACTTAGCATTATATTTGAATCTGGTTCCCTTATTGTTCATTCGATTTATGTAATGTATCACTTACGTACTCGGCTGTAAGATACACTGTTTGAGTACTAGTGATACTGCCCCCGATCGCTTCCGTAAACCGAAGTAGATGAAGCAGGGTTCAAACCCGCAACCATTCATGTTAATAATCTATTACTATGGTATAATTAATATGGGACATAAAGTAAATATAGTATTGATGTTTGGTAGTAAAAGTGAAATGTAATTTTTTCTACAAGTTCTGCAACGTCGATAACAATTCAAGTATACAAAACTCCTATTAGTATCTTGTTAAAACTACACTGTGATAGTAGACGTTTCAAGGTCTCTTATATCTTACCTTTTCACTTAGTGTTACTTTAAGCGATATAAAATAATAGCTACTGGTTGCGTGGGAGCTAGTCAATGAAACCAAATTTAGAAGCAGCTAGAAAGAAAACCTAACATCATTCAACGAGATGTTTAACTGTTCTACTGATCCGTTTTGATGGATGAAGACAACTTTGTTGAGATTCGCATGATAACCGTGACCAGTGGTTGAAGATATTGAATGATGACATGTATTAGAGTCTTTTTCTCGATTTTCATTTCCTGTATTTCTTCATACATACCTTTCCATACCTTTTAATTTCATCTCGTTCTATTATGGTATAGTGTCTTTGGTCTACACTCATCTGTCAAACTATGTTGATGATTGAGTGACTGCCTTATTAGCTCATTGGCGACGCTTCACTGAGAAGCAGTATGACTCATGCCTGAGTCTCACATGCAGCATTAGTTCCTCCAAGATTGAAAGCACACCTTGCTGACGTGTGCCAATCATGTTTGTTATATGAACAAACAACATTCTGTACACTATTTATTTATCTATTTTAACACATAGATATTGGTACAAGGAGGCACCAAATACATATGCGCCACACAAATCTCACTCGATATGTGTGAAGGCTGTGATACTGCCCGGGTGCCCAAACCGAAGCAGGTGGTTTTCTTAGGGGGCCACGCCCCGAGCCTTCGACCTGAAGGTTTGATCCACAAGGCAGTGGAGCATCGTAAGGAGATGCAGTCCCATGGAGGCCGGTGACCAACAACTGGTTCATACACCAGGATACTAGAGTCCATGTGCACCATTGGTTTGGAATCCGGTTAAAGCGCCGGACATTCGCTTTTCGTCCTCTCATTTTCGCAAACAACGGTAATGCCACGAGAAGGCAGTGAGTAGGCCTTCCCTGCCAGAGGCTATATACGCGTGGCCATGTGAGAGCATTTCGAGAGAAAGAGCGGACTCTCCCCACTCTCGACCGTACCAGGGCATTTGGGGGCTCTGTACACACTAACTCTAGTATATATTATTAGGACAGTTTGAAAGAGAATGAACAATGGCATTGTTTTCGTGTGTCTATGCTATATACGTAAAGTTAAATACTATGCATCAGTTCATGAAATTATTGATGATTGGACTGAGCTGCGTATGTAAGTTCACAATCTGATTAGGGTCAACACGACTTTTATAACCAATTGATAAAGACTTTCTGTAACACCGTTCAGAATCATTCGCGATAAAACAGGTGCACTCACTCTCATTCTTCGTTTATATCCTAAATTTCTAAACAATCGTAAGTTTCTAAACAAATTCTGTCAACCCATTTTTTCTCTCTTTAAATCATTTTCTATACTTAACTTTTTCTACTACTACTGATTATATTATATATTATATAAGTTGAATTAATGTACATATGTGTATCTAACTGACTAACTGATTAACTTCAAACATCCAAGTAACAATTTCCTTTTAATTTTATTATTGAATTTTTCAGGCGATCTATCAAATTTTCAATCCAGATAATATTTATGAAAAAGAGATGTTAATGCAACATTCAAATGTCAATACATGTAATCAAAATAATGACATAACTGAAAGTGGAAGAGAAGATAATAGTGTAAATGAAACCAATTCTTACTCAGTACTTGATGAATCTGAGAGAATGCTTGCTTTACTTAATTTAGCAGATCATTTAACAACAAATTGTGCAGAAAATCAACGATTACTCATTGAACATCAACCGAATTTAATTAAAATTACACTTGCTTGTATTAATTTATCACCTGAGTTTGTTCAACGTATAACTCTTCATTCAACAATAACACCGTCGTCATTGTCATCGGAAAATATCAAGTTTGTTAATGTTTTATTTAATTTAAGGGTTTGGTTAACGTTTTGAATTTATCATCGGATTTTGCCAACTGACGTAGTTGAGATGTTGGTCCGCCAACCAAAAGATGGGTTTACTGCATAGCAGTTTTGTCCTTCCTACTTTATGGGTGTAAAACATGGCCATTAAAAAAAGAGGATATTCGTGTATTATTAGTATTCAATCATATGTATCTTCAAGGCATTGCTCATATACTTTAGGACCGCGAAGTAATGCCTGGGTTAGAAATCGGGTACTTCGTAAGAATGGAAAATCATTGATGAAGTTGTTACTTTTCATCAACTGAGGTGGTTGGGACGTGTTTTACGTATCCCCAACCACCGCCTACCTCGACAGACGATGTTTTCTAATGTGGAAACAGAATGGATGAAAACTAGGTGCAGCTAGACCAAAACATGGCATCAGTCCATGAAGTCACAAACAATTGAACTTAGCCATGTTGTTATAGGTGTAGACTACCTGATTGGGGTCTGCGTTATTATCGTAACCAGTGGTTAGAGATTTTGAATGACATGACTCAAAATGGTTTGCGATGGCACACGTATTTCTATTTTTTGTCTTCCTCCAAAATCTAGGCTTCTGAATTTCTCATGGCTTTTATATTATTTTACAGTTTACATTTCGAATTCGATCTTTGATCCCTAATATTTTCTATTACAACGGATACTGTTACTACCTCTACTATTCTGAGATTTGTCCTGACAATCTGACCTCTCTGTGCTAATGGGGCATCGTAACATGAACCGATGTACGTACGTACTAGGTTCTACGTTGCGACTGGCTGTCATATTTATGTACGATTACGACATTTTTCTAGTTCAATGCTATGTGTTTCAAACTGTAATGATAGCTTGAAGAATCCAAAACATCATTCGAAATTCTTATATTGAGCTACAGGTAACGTCCACTATATCGAAATTGTCCTAATCTGTCAACCAATAAAAAAAGGATAAATAAATTCATGATCAGAAGTTAAAGCAGTCACAAGCAAATAGAGAAACAACAACTTCACAGTTATGGACAACAACCAATCAAATTATTTTTCAGCACAACAATCTGCTAGTCAATTGCAGAAAGAATCTTATTGTTGCCTTTTTATTCAAGTGTTTTTGATATTGTAGTGTCAGTTATTATATTAAACCTATATACCTTATTCTAGCTTTCGGACACCCTATTCTATTTATTCTACTTGAGCCATACTTTGACTTTGTTATTTATTCGCTTATCAATCTAGACTGATTTTATATGAGCGTATACGTGTGTGCTCTTCTTATCCCATTAATCACATGTCTGTAGCTTATTTTTATGTGACTATAAATATTAAGTAACGCTTGACTAAAATGGAGTTGGCTTCCCAGCCATCTTCCCTACGTGTCATTTTGCCTTTCTCTGTTTCATTCGCTTCATATACAAAATATATGTATGCACAGATCAATTCTCGTTATTTGACTTATTTAATTCCGTTATTGGATAACGTGATTTAAGTCGACGATTATATACGAAAATAGGCGATAGCAAACATTTATACGATCTAAATAGGAGTCAGATCCACGGGCCACTAAAATGTCACAAATAAACGAATCAAGAACATAACATCTTCAAAATATATTTATTCACACATATAATCAAAAGTTTTATATCAGAAAATATTTTTAATATGTGTGCGAAATACGACAAAAAACCTTCCATCGACTTGTACTCAGTCACTATCACCAAGTTTAGTCTTTTCAGCAAATTTAAACACCGCTTGTTTTTTCGCATCATTTATTTCAGTCTTGTACACTTATTTTGAATAGCGAGAATATATTACTTAAGTGCTATTAAGTAGACAAGTTTTCGTAACTAAAAAATATAGCCACACCATATCAGCATCGTATTTATCATACAAATTAACACTCATGATTCTTAAAACAATTGGTCCCTTTAATAGATTTGGATAATGTAATAAGAAGATGAAGATTATCTAGTTGACCTTTAAAAATTACTTATAAATGTTCTCAACAAATATACTATGTTCAAAATTGAAGAATATTTGAACGAACGATTGTTTTCAATAACTTCATCATTAGGCTCTACAGTTATAAGTCCATAATTATAATATTTTACAAAGGCCAAAAATAAGGCATGTATTAATGAATTTGACAATGTTATGTGTTAAAAAAGGTGAACGTTTGCATCTGTTACGATTATATATATATATACTTCAAAATTGTATTATTTTCAAATTAGAAAGGTCATTCAATAAAGGTCAGGATGATTTGGAGTAAAGTGTCCAGTCGCAATAAGTAGAGAATAGTATGACAGCAAGAATGAAAATGCAAAAAAATTGTGTGAATAAGATGCATAGCAGGAGAATTTAATCTTGTCAATTGAGATGATAATAATAATAATGTTGTGTGAATATTATATGTAATAAGAGGGGTGTTACCAAGGTAATTACGATAAACGAATATTTTAGCACGTCGACTCAAAAGATTTGTCGAAAGGACGTTTCACGCCGCCAAGCTACACATAATTTTCTCAACTAAACCAGTACTTCGGTCTGGGCACCCGGGCAGTATCACAGCACTCACACAAATCGGATGATTTATGTGGCGCATATCTATTTGGTGCCTCCTTGTACCGATGCTTATGTGTTTAAATAAATAATCGAGGATAGGTTACCGAAGATAGGCTCCTCCATATGTGTATATCAACTCAACTGCTCCTGTGGAGCTAGTTACATAGACCGTACTCAGAGGGCTTTATCCTTGCATGTTCATGAACATGTACCAGCATGGTTGGAAAAAGGAGTTACTAAATCGATTAACAGCACTATTCTTTCACACTTGGTAGATAGTGAACATCATATCGAAATAGAGGAAGCTTTGTGTGCTCTATATCAAGTTCCGAAATGTCTACCTCAAAGAGCTAGATTACGATTGCTCTACATAGCCGAAGCCATCTGGATAAACTCCAGAAAACCAAACTTATGTATCCAGTAAAAGTATATCCAGCCTCTATGTTTACCTTAGCCCACGACTGGATCACCGGATACCTAAACTGAATGTTATAAAAATCTTACCTTTTTTTGATCGCCTCTATCTTAATCTTCACATCCATCATTCCCAATTCGTTTATCGTAATTACCTTGGTAACACCCCTCTTATTACATATTATATTCACACAACATTATTATTATTATCATCTCAATTGACAAGATTAAATTCTCCTGCTATGTATCTTATTCACACAATTTTTTTGCATTCTCATTCTTGCTATCATACTATTCTCTACTTATTGTGACTGAACACTTTAATCCAAATCATCCTGACCTTTATTGAATGACCTTTCTAATTTGAAAATAATACAATTTTGAAGTATATATATATATATATATATATATATATATATATATATATATATATATATATATATATATATATATATATCGTAACAGATGCAAACGTTCACCATTTTTAACACATAACATTGTCAAATATATTATGTGTGATCAAATTGTTCAAAATGTATTGCACTAATGTCACAAATTCTGATCATCTTCGTCTTCGTATTACATTATCGAAACTCATTATTCTGTTTATTATCATTAATACTTGTTGAATTCCATATCAAGACAAATTGCCATCATTATTTTTAACATTGATAACATACTTCTTTCTCCATACCATATTTTCGACATTTTTATTTTGAACTTATTCTTGATATACAATTCGTTTGTTAATAATGATTGCTATTTGTGACCTTGGGGTAGTTTGAGTCCATAAGATTAAGGCTGTTTTAGTCATAATCAAAGTCCTAACAAACATTTAACCAATCACTTTTTTTTGTTCGTTGACTAATTCATTTCCACAGTACTGTGGGAATTAACATAGCTTTTATTGTAAACATTTTGTAACTCGATAGACTAAATAACCAATATTTAATTTTTCTTCTCAATTGACAGCTTAACTATAGAGAAACAACGAAGCCAACATATTATTGGTGCACTTAGACTAGCCGCTTGTAATTTGTTGGTTAATTTGACTTCATTACCAAGTGGTCGACAATCTTTATTAGATATGTATGGGCCTGGTCCTATTCTGACAAGTTTAGCAAGTTGTTTATCCACTTCAATGTCCAATTCCTATCAAGTGACTTCTCCAACCTTAACACTAACAAACACTTCAAGTTTAGCTGATGCAGCACGTGGATTAGTTGGCCGTTTATCAGCATCATCTGGATTAGTTAGTACAACAAATAGTAATAATGTAGACATGGCTAAATCCAATTTAATTTCATCGACAATAGCTTCAGTTTGTGCTACAAAAGTTGCACAAATATTGGAGTATTTAACAGAAAGTTCAAGATTCCTTGTAAGTGTAAATAATATATATATCTGTGTTGATCGTCACTTTCTGAAACTTATACATTTTTAATAAGTAGTTGATTATTAAATTCAAAGAGAAATCATAATTAGACCTCCATATGTGGTATATTTATTTTATTTCATTATTAGTTTTAAAAAAAATAATTTTTTGGTTGGATTTATGGATAAATTGAAGCTAGACCACCATGGAAAACCTAGAAGAACTGGACGGCCGTTTCTTCCTATTGTGGGACTCCTCAACAGCGCGCATCCACGACCCCACCTCGTGAGACTCGAACGTAGGACCTATCGGTTTCGTGCTCGAACACCTAACCTCTTGACCACTGAGCCGGCCGGGATCCAACCGTGTAAATATCAATGTCATTGTGTACCGACCCAGTGGTCTAGAGGTTAAGCGTTCGCGCGCGAGACCGATAGGCCCTGTGGTTCGAATCTCGCGAGCGGGATCGTGGATTTGCCCTGTTGAGGAGTCCCATACTAGGAAGAAACAGCCATTCAGTGCTTCCTGGTTTTCCATGGTGGTCTAGCTTCAATTGACTCATGATTTCAACAATTGAAACTACTATAATATCCACAAAAACCCCTTCTGAAAATAATTTTGTTCTTTTTACCCTTAGTCTTAAATGGGATTTCAGTAAAAATTGTGATTTTTCATCCAGACTTATACTTAGTTTAAAGCATATATGTATGATTTAAAAAACATAATAATCGTGGTATTCTGTAATTATTTGACTAGGAGTTGTAATCATCTGTTCGAATTTACTTTATGTAGTTTACCCAATCTCAGATTACTATTTGTAACTTCCAACCACTAGATGTGATTCACAATACTGGAAAGTAAGAAGTACTTTTTATTCTTAGTAATTACTTCATTAGCTTTCGTCTTCATGAAAAAATTACCAATGTGTTGAGTCACTCAGCCTAGTGATCATACTTCAAATTGATGGATGAAATTTGATCATCATTAAGAGTTTAGACAAATATGACATTGATCATTACTCAGTAGTCAACCAATTGTAAATTTTTCAATTCTGTAGGAGGTTATTCGTGGCCCGATTAGTTCAGTAGTGACATCTCAAACTGTGAAGCTGAGCAGTGTAGATTCGAATCCTATATGGAGCATCATTCCCCTTAAGATTGCAGGCACGCTTTTCTGTCAAGTATCAACTAACATAAAATCTCGTTCGAATACAGTTTCCTGTAAACTACCTTCAACCAGTTAAAGTCCTAATTTTACTAATGTGGCATTCCAGTTAGCTGTCAATCACACATTGATTGGACTGCATTATATTTATTGGCGATGCGTATTTTATTTTCTAGGTTATCATTGCTTATCAATGCATATTGTAGCATATGATTGGTGCTAAAAAAACTAGCGCACTTTTAATGTTATATGAGTTCAGATTCTAGCTACTTGGGGATATGTACGGAAATTTCCGTAGTCCAAAGGTTCTGGAATCAATTTAAATAGAAAGACATAGTTTCCTATTTCTAGTCTATATTTAAAGCAAATTACTTTCCCTTATAGCAAATATAGGAAATTCGTGACCCTTAGTTCAGTGTACAGTTGTCATTCAAAGTACCCAATTTCCAGCTAACCAGAACGTCTCAACTTTAAACACAGTTCCATCTAATTCGGCTGTGACAGACAAGTGAAAACACTAGCCTCTACACAAATGATGTACCTCAATACCAAGTACGTAGACTTGTATTTAGCGAATAGGTTATTCCTTTAATGCACAGTAACTGAGATAAGGGTACAGTTTAGAAGGTTATCTCTACTTTTCTTTCCCCATTATTTTAAACACTTCCTTTATCTTTTTAAATTAGTCGTGTTCATGTGAAAAGACCAAACTCTGAAAGTTAATGTTTTAAAATATCTTAATTATCCAGTTTTTCTAAACTATAACACGAAATCGTTTCTGACTGGTTCTTTGTATGATGTCGAGTGCTGTTAATAGTGTAAGGGGGAGATTGTTACTTTCTGGTTGCACATCCCGTGGAAGGATACTTCCTTCTGAAGGAATCGAAACTAAAACAGGGTCAGTGATGACCTTGACAACGTGGGGGCGTGAATGCAGAACCCGAGGAATAACTGCTCGAAAGCAGGCCATGCATGATCCTTTTGTGCATGTGTTACCTCCATGTTTTTCAGATCTCACCGATGGCGACTAAAGTTCGTGAGGAAAGATGAGATGTACTGTTTTCTGAGGCCGAATTTTCCTAACCTCGCTTCATTCTTTGCGATTAGACAGCATCACTTCATACTCTTTTAGTCTGAAAGAAACACTTTACTGTTGTCATACCTCAATATATTTAGCACCATGACTTTGTCTTCGAACCTTAGGTTTGCCGTTTTTATTCTCTGAAAAGCTTCAATAGCGTGGTAGAACGTGAAGGCATGTGTTATGGCCAATATAACTAGATTTGTTCATCACAATCTACAAACCCGATCATCATGTCAATATAGCAAGCTGCTATAGTTGTTACCCTTTCCTATATTTTTTCCATTCATAATTCTTAAACTATATTCTAAATGTTTAGCCTTCCTAATTATCATTACCTAATGCATTATTTTGACTCGTTTACCATTCATCGTGGTAATATCATATCCTCCACCATCTCAAAATCATATCCTTGTGTTTATATGGTTATGATATGATAACTAGAGCTAACTTATGTTCATGCCAGGCTCTAGGTTAATTATGACCGACTGGCTAGTTTATGAAAATTACACTAAATGCTTAAACGTCAATAAAAAGATGACTTGAACTTTAATTAAAATATAACTCTTTCATCTTAATCACTTGTAATAATCCGCCTAATATATCAGTGGTCAATAAATACACATTATGAAACGTTTTCTAAAGAATAACTAAAAGTTATTTGAACTGTTTATTATTATTATTATTATTACTCTTTCCGTTTACTCCACTATGCACTTATTATCGACTAACATTAGATTATAACGGATGACCTAAGCAGTAATTTGGAATGTTAACTTTATTATTACTATTATTATTATTACTTAATCTTGTCTATTCTTATCATAACGTCTACTTTCTCACCTTTCTTTAAGCTTGTTTCATCATCAATAATGCGAAATGATTATTTCTTTTTCAATGTTAGTCTTATCAGTAAACATATATATGTAATCAGGTCGTATTGTATGGATTGTCTAGTAAATTTGCTGAAAGTTCTATTTTATTTTTGGACAATAATTTATTGATCCTGTTGTAAGCATAAAATAGTTTGACCGAAACATTGAACTTTCTAATAGACAACTATTGGTTGTTAGGTTTTATTTTGTATAAACTTTCGAAGTAATCAACTACTCATATTGTACCACTGACGACTAAAGTCCATGGGAATAGGTGAGGTGTATTGTTTTCTGAGGCCGAAGTTTCCTAACCTCGCTTCATTCTTTGCGATTAGACAGCATCACTTCATACTCTTTTCGTCTGAAAGAAACACTTTACTGTTGTCATACCTCAATATATTTAGCACCATGACTTTATCTTCGAACCTTAGGTTTGCCGTTTTTATTCTCTGAAAAGCTTCCATAGCGTGGTAGAACGTGAAGGCATGTGTTACGGCCAATATAACTAGATTTGTTCATCACAATCTACAAACCCGATCATTATTCTTTTCAATTCGTTATATTATTTGCAAATATTGTGACTTATTCGAAATATATTATGGCCATATGTTTTTGGTGATATAAACTACCTAATATTCAGATATGTTAGGTGGTTGGAGGTAGTTTACAGGAAACCCATGATATTGGGCCGCTGTAGACTAATAATCATATTGCAGTCTGGTCTATAGAATATGATCAACACTAAAGAATTAGACAAATATCACATATATTATTACCCCAGTTACCAATTAATTGTAGATATTCGAATATACTACAACTAATCTCTTTATTATGACCATTGGTGTCTTATCGTTTATATTACTATTCATAGAGTCAATTGGATTTGATATTCCGTCATTCAGTTTTAGTGTAAAATCACTGATTTCACTCTTAACTTGTCCACAAGTAGGCCGATACGTATATATGTACCAGACTATGTGTCACATATGACTGACTAACAACTAACTGAAAATTGGTACTTACTACCGTATGCACTCTTGTTGTTCACATCAGTACTGAGAGATATAGGTCCATCCAAGCACACACAGTTAAATTAAAACTGAAATGTATGTTTCACACAAACCAAACATACATTTTGGTAAAATGTCCATATTTGTATTTCACAAATCACTGGATATATATATGACCTTTTTGTAAGTAATAAATTACTGTTTATTGGTAAGATTCTATATTTTGGGTCAATCACTTCGTATGAATAAGTCTATATTTTGGTGTAACAAAGGATACAGTTTGATTATATACATGAATAATACAGTTATACTCTAATATTTGATATTTACGTTTTTATTGACTTGAAAAAGAAACTGGTTTAGCGATGGTTATAGAGACCTAGGAACGCGACCACAGAACTCAAGAAACAACTATCTGTCTGTATTTCCCATTTAGTCAATAAGTTATAATCAACGTAGAACCCGATTCAAATGTGCTTTAGCACTAGTTTCCATACCACATAACCTAGGCGAGATTAAATCAACAATATGAATGTCAGAGGTATCGAAATAACGTATTAGTAACGATAATATTGAAGTACTAAGTATTGAGAATATTGTTTGAAAAGTCGGAGTAAAAAGGTACTTATTGTGGAATACTGGAATTCATAATCTAGAGTAAAATAAAGATTAGTGAATGCATTTAGACCATTGTAACTGATTCTAAGCCATTTTACTTATCGTCTCCCCTTTAAAAAAAATATTGCAATATTTCTTGAAGAAATGAATGAGTGTTAAGCATAGCCAACGAGTTGTATTTGATTATTATTACTTCATACTACACCTATTATCCAAAATAAATCATTATACGATGAACAGTGGTAAAAAGTAGAGTTGAAGAATTTATCAGTTATCAAGCATACTTTTTAAAACCCCTACCTAAATCTACGTATTTGGTTATTTTGCAAACAATCACTTAATTTTTCAAGTGCGTTATCTAACTTTTTCTGTGTGTAATTCACTTGAAATATAATTCACTACGTTCAATACTAATAGTTTTTCCTAAACAAATATGTGTATCCTTTACTTCATAGATACTTGCTCGATCTTCTAGTGAAGGTTTACAAGGCCTTTTGTCAGTCATTGAGTCTGCTTTAACTTCTTCATCTCCAACTACTAATACCAATCAACCGTCATCGACAACATGCCAATGTCTAGCTACTTTGTTAGACAGTTTAGGCAATGCTTGCCAAGATCGTACTTTTCAAAAAACTATTCTACAAAGTCGTAAAGCTTTATTATTCGGATTATCTAATTGTCTTTCATATCATGTCCCACTGCTGAGTGATGCTAGGTTTGTTCGATTATTTCAACTTGTATTATAATTTATTACCATATTTTCATTAATCTCATTTACCAAGGTGTATTTCATCACTTTTTGGAGAGCCACTAATGACTGAGTCATATTTGATGATAAAGTGGAAGATAGTGGAGCCTCCATTTATGACACTTATGAATGATTCATTTTTTTGCCATTAATTGTGTGAAAGGCTACGAATGTCTTATTAATTATCATTTCCAAAGGTTGGTGGCTCGATCTTGCACTTATGAATATTTGTGGATTGAATATGAAGTGGTCTTCGTTTGCTTCGCGATGTTCATTCCATTAATACCAATTTGGTTATAAACCTACCTTTTTGTCACAAGTACTGTTAAAATCTATGACCTGGTAATGAAATTATGTCAAATAAATAATCCTAATTGTATAGTTTTTCTCAACTGGCTATATTTTATGTAATTATTGCGTTGCGTAAGTTTTAATAGAACACAAAAGTAATAATTGTCGTGGAATAGTACAAATTCACTTAGCCTATGAGTTGTCATCATCTGTGTAATACTTGAAGTAGTTCGAACTCTATACTAGTTTTCTTAAAGACAATTAGAACAACTTATCATTGGTAAATACCAATTCACAATTCTGCATAAAAGCATATATTGAAATAAATGAAAAAATGGGTTATTATTTGCATTTCCAAACATGAACTACAGAAACCGTAATCTAACAGTTATCATCTCTTTAACAATGGAATCACTCTTATCTGCTTACTTGTTAACAAGTATTAGTAACGTGAGTTTCAAACACCTAGTTACATAACTTTTCATCTCGAACCCCTAATTCAAACGCATAATAAAATCTCTTTCGTTATCCGATTATATTACTTCACCTAGTCAATATTTACCTACTTTATGTCATCTGACATTCATTTACCACTCTTCAAAAAAAATCTCTGTCCTCATCTGTCTGTTAGTTTCATTTCTTCCCTTCAACTTCCGAAGACTATTCACTGTATAGACTCTACGAAATATATAACTAACTTCATAAAAATACAATTCTTGCTAACCTCTACTTTACATTCTCAATTTGAGTGTTATCTTCGACCATGCTAATCATTTTCTTTATTCATTAATTCAATATACATTTAGTACAGCTGATAAGAAAATACATAAACATGTGTTAAAGTTGCTTCTATTGAAATAACATTTTAATTAGTGACTATATAGACTCAATAGTTGACTTAATAACACCTAAGACCTTTAAAGCGAAAAGTATTGAGTCCAAGTCTTAATATAAACATTAACACTGGAATAAAGGTAAACATCAAACTGAAGTTTCCTAAATAGGATAAAAAGTGTAACTTATACTCCACTGCTAGCTATAATTCATATGTTCAATTGAATGTTCGAAATATAAATAATGAAAATAGAATATCAACAGAATTAATCGTTGCACACATACACACACACACACACCTACATACAAAAGAAAAAACAAACAAACTTGAAATAATTAACCAGAAATCATTGACTTTATATTCTATGAATAAAACTATGTTGTATATTAGTAGTAGTGTTTAGTTTTAATTATCAAATATGAATGAATCAATAAATCAATTAATGATCTATATCTCTAAGATCGATAAATAACTTCCTAGATCATACGATATACATCAAAACTATATTAATGATTGATGAGATAGAGTGTAAGAGAGAGAGAAACGGATCAGATAAATTGTTTAATTCATTTTAACATAATCTAAATCACTTATCTCATTCTTATACTAAAATAGTTTTTCATATAGTAGTTATCCCAGTCAAATTTAATATTTTTATTAAATTCCTATTAATTGTTCAAGTAAAAATACTTAGATTTCATCAAGGATTATCCAATTCACTTCTATGATCATTTAATTTTTGCATTTATTTATTTATTTATCTTTTTTATTTTCAATCAAGTCATGCTTGCTTAATCGCTTCAATCTGTCGATTATTACATAATATTTATGTGGGACAATTAGATCAGCCAATGGTGACTAATAACAATAGCTTCAGTTTGTTAGATACTCCAAATAATGATTGTTCAACATCTTGTTTAACATCAAGCAAATTAGTTAATTCTTTACTGAATGGTATTGGTGCTATTTTAGATCAAATTGGTCATGGACCAGAATTGAGAGCTGTAGTTGTTGCTTTAGCCGGAAGATTATTACCTCTGTGTCATGATACTAATCAAGTAAGTAATGTTAACATTAACTAAGTGATCAAGTTAGGTGAGTCTGGGTTTTTTTCGGCAGTTTTCCTTTTTCCGGATTTAAAAAAAATAGTAGTAGTAGTAGTGTGCCAGTTAATAGTAAGTTGCAAACAATGGAAGAGATTTTCAAAATTGTGTACTAATCGAACTGTAGTCACATTTTGTATGAGACAATAGGACAGAGGTGACACTTGAGGGGGAAGCCGAAAAAAGAAGTTTAGAGTTTGGAGTTGATGTAGGAGGAATAATAGGAATTGAAGAGGGAGGTTGATTATGAATCCAGTAGTCTTGAGTGCTGTTAGAGGTATGAGGGCGGTTATCACTTCCCGATTGCCCACACCGTGGAAGGGTTCTTCTGGAGGTACCTGAAAAGGAAATCGGATTAGAAGTGGTCTTAGTGACCTGGGAGCGTGACCGCAGTGCCCAAGTGACAGCTGCTTGAGGTCGGTCACACACGCCCTTTTTATGGGTAATTTTTGTGTTATCTCCGTACTTGTTGAGATCTTACCGCCGGAGACGGATATCCGTGGGATAAGGCGAGGTGTGCATTTTTAGGGTCGACCTTTTCTAACCCCACCCCTCCTTGTGGGAAGGCAGCATCGCTGTCATGCTGGTTGTCTGAAGGAAATACCTTACCGCTGTCACACCTCTGTACAGTCAGCAGTACGGCTTCGCCTTCGAACCTTGGGTTTGTTGCTTTTAGTCTTACCGCTCTTCAACCGACCTTTCTGACGTGATAGGACCTTGAGGAACAGTTGTTCCAGTCAGTATAGCTCGGTTGCTTCATCACGATAGGCAAGCCCGACCACCACGTCAAGGTAGCAACAACGGTCGGAAATAGGACAGAAGGAAATCAACCAATCAAGCAAAGTAAGTATGATCAATGATTATGTCGAATTAAGCATAACAAATTATATTCTCTGAATAAGTAGCTTACAGTGAGTCACAAAATGTAAAAAAATAGTTTTTTTACTCATTAGGATATTACAAAATATGCTATTTTTATTTATAAGTAATTTAGTTCAAAAAGGAATTAATAATATGAAAGAATGAAAATTCCTGGTTAGTATACGGTAAAAGAATTTTAACTACATAAAGGGAAGTCCTACTCACTGCCTTCTCGTGGCATTACTGTCGTTTACGAAAATCAGAGGACGAAAAGCGAATGTCCAGCTCTTTAACCAGATTCCAAACCAATGGTGCACATGGGCTCCAATATCCTGCGCGAACAAATGGCGTATGAACCGATCGTTGGTCACCCGCTACCATGAGACTGCATCTCCTCACGATGCTCCACTGCCTTGTGGATCAGACCTTCAGGTCGAAGGCTCGGGGCGTGGCCTCCCAAGAAAACTACCTGCTTCGGTTTGGGCACCCGGGCAGTATCACAGCCCTCACACATATCGAATGAGAATTGTGTGGTGCATATGTATTTGGTGCCTCTTTGTACCATTATCTATGTGTTGAAATAAATAAACTATGTTTGTGCCTTTGAATGATTTGAAGCCATGATAAAAGTAGGAAAAATGTTTTTTTTTCGAGTATGGCATACTTACTGTATCCTATATCAATTTAAACACCAGTAGAGTTCCATAACTATAAAGAATGTTTTCCACTCTATCAATTGATAATATTAGTAGCGATGCACAAATTTATCTTTATTTAGCTTACATCTTGGTTTGGAGAGCATACAACTGAGTCAATTAACGATTTAACACCACGAACTCGTCTACTTCTTGCAATTTTAGATAGTTGGTAAGTTTCGATTTTGAATGATGTTACTGTGATATCTTTTCCTAGCTTGTGATAGTAACAGAATATTGATAACTCACTGAAGTTGAAGTATTATTTTTTGTCAATAAGGGTTGTGAAGTTTGTTGAATTTTATTGAAATCATGAATTTTCACAACCCCTTACTGACAATTATAATGTGATCATTAGTGACTAGCTCCGAGAGAAAATTTCCAGAATTCTAGTGAGTTGTGTCCAGTGAAGTTAAATCGTGTCGTGTGTGAGACAGTTATCCAGTAGATGGTCGTACAATGTTATAGAATGATTAAATTTATATATTAACACTGTCGGATCCTGACTCAGTGATTTATAGGTTAAGCGTTCGCACTCAAGACTGAAGGTCATAGGTTCGATTTTTTGTGCAGGGTCGTTGGTCCGCACTCCTAAGGAACCCTACATACTAGGAGGAAATGGTTGTACAGTGCCTCTAGGTTTTCAATGGTGATCTAACATTGATCGATTCATGATTTAAATGATAGTATTTTTGTATTGAATGAGATGTGTAAACGTTAATTAGAAAGGAACTGTTGTATATCGTTCCCGTAGCTTGTGATAATGTGTATTTATAAGAATAGTTTTCGAAGGGATTGATTATTTTACTTATACGAAATTCATTTACTTTCTGTGTTACATGGCTTATGAAGATATCTCAATCTGAGTATCAAGAAAACAATCTTCTTTTACATAAACTTTATTTTGACAAGATAAATTTGTGATTTAGTTGAAAGTATGTTGTGCCTTTAATAATATCTTCACTTTCTAGTTAAATATTGATTAAATCTTGATGCATCTATTGAAATAACACCAAACTTTTTTTTAATATCAAATCATTTGGGGAATCAAGTTGATCATATCGTCATAATCCGATATAAGTTATTTAAAAAATAGTCTTAGTTTACATAGTTTAGTGAAATTAAACAATCGTTGTCGTAGTTACTGAGACATTAACCAACTAGAATTTCAGATATTTAATTACATTGGACAAAAGAAGTCATGGTCACGTAGATGAATAAGTGAATTAAACAATGTTAAATGCTAAAAAAAAGTAAACTTTTACGTAGGTTACGTAGGTTTAATACGTTCAAAATATTTCATTTATAAATTTGAATTGTAATTTTAAGCAAAGACAATAAGAAAAATTCATTATGAAATATCTAGTTCCAATCAATAGAATACCATATATCTTGTAAATAAAATGCATATTAAAAGAAATGTTATATCGAATTAATTGAGTAACCAAATGCAAAAGTTTACTCATTTAATATTTTGTTTAATTGACGTGTTTATGTATGCCTTATTTTGACTAATTGTAATACGAAATATATCCATTAAAATATAATGTAAGTAAGAATAATTTCAGTGAAGAGTTCTACCTTTTTCGTTGAATTCATTTTCAAAGTTGTACAATCACAAATATACATATTTATTTTTCTGAAATGATATTACTTTCAATGATAGTGATATTTTTTTTCACTAAACATGGTAATAATGAGGTAAAATAACGTTATTTTTTTTATCAGGGTAACTAATATTAGTTCTGTTGTAGAGGGCTTGAATATTCATCATGAAAAGCCAAGGTTCAGTGTGATAAGATAAATTGTTGAAATTGAGATAATCTTCAATCAGGAAGATCATAAAAACAGAAACAAATCACTTCGAAGTAAAAATTCTATAGAGAAGAAGATAGGAGGGAAGCAGATGACTGTGTGATAAGACAAAAATTACGAGAGATTTAAATCATGGTAGAAGAAGAGGTTGTACCAATTCCTTTTGGACACATAATTCTGGTATTTCTAGATGCATAGCAATGTTAAGAAGATGCAAGATAACTGTTTTTGACAGCTCTCTACTTACCTTTGTATGCGTTTATTTATTTTGCCCCACTATTACCATATTTAGCAAAAAAGGAATTTTATTATCTCTATTATTGTAATCATTATTATTTTGGAAAGTAAGTATATATTTGTGATTGTACAACTTTGAAAATGAATTCGTCGTAATGAGAACTCCTGGGTGAACTAATCTTTCTTGATTTATTTGTAATACAATAATTTTGAACTTGTCACTGTAGAGCATGACAATGAAAATATTTAAAACAGTTCGCCATTTAAATACATTTCATGTTCTTGACGACTAATCTATGAAAGTCGTCTGACAATCTAATATTTACATGGGAATACTTCCTTCCTCTTCTTCTTCAAAATTTTGTTATTCCCGTACAAATTTATCATTCATAGTATGTTTTTTCCTCCCATATATAATAGTTCATTAGATTCGTGTTCTAAACGTAATCCTGTCAGTCCATCATCCGTAAATGGTGAACAACAACAATCAAATGGAAATATTTCACAGTCGAAAAATGAAACAAACAATATGACATCTCATTTAATTACTGGATGTATTCGTTGTTTAGCTTTGGGTACTAATCATTCAACTAGTTTACGTTATGCAATTGGTGATGATAGACGACGTGTTCGACGTTTAGCACGTTTTATTCGTGCACGATTATCGGAATACACAATTCAATCACCAGTTATTTGTAAATTGAATGTTTCATCAAACCAACTACCACCTAGAGATGAACCATTGGCAGGAAATGTTTGTTTAGTTTTACAACATTGTGCTTCAGATACACCATTAGCTGAACATCTTCAAGGTACTTCAGTAATATATGATTTATTATCACTGATACAAGTAAGTGGAAAGAAATAATAATCATTACACAAATAATTTTTTCTAAAAAAGCAACCCATTATTGTTTGAATTACTGTAATATTTATAATATATATACATACTAGGTTTAGTATAATTTCATCAGGTGAATTAGTTACATGAGATATTTTGTTTTCATTATTTCAATCAAATTTTATTACGACTATTCAGTCGGTCAGCTAAAACGGAGGACCAGGCACATATATGCATCGGTCCAAGTTGCCATACCTCATTAACACAACAAGATGAACACCGGATTCATAAAAGTAGTTAATTCAGAGGTGGTAATATGTAAAAGAAAGATTGTAATTAGGATATAGTACAGGAAGAAAGAATTAGTTCGTAGAAAGAAAGATATGAAGCGATTTTAATCTCTTAGTTTAAGGGAAGACAGAGAGTGTATACACCGACGCCATTATGATCGATTCTGAGCCATGTCACCAAGAGTCTCCAACCATTGGTTACGAAAGTCACGAGGACCCCAACCAAGTAGTCTGTATCTATCAACATGGTCCAGACCAGAAGTTAGTGACTTTATGGACTGATGCCACGTTTTGGTTTGGCCACCCCTAACTTTCTTCCAATCATCCCGAACACCGGTTAGCATTGCACGTCGTGGTAATCGGTGTTTGGGCATACGTAACACGTGACCCAACCACGAATATTGTTATTGATTGATAGCTAGTAAAATTCCAAGTAGAATAGGTAGACTTTATGCATTAGTTTTAATACTATTAACCGATTTTCTTTTTCTTTTTTTTGTTGATAATTCAACATTTTAGGAAAGTCAACGATTAGATACTAAAAGGAATGCAGCAATACTTATTGGTAAATTAGCTCAATCAAGTCAAGTACATCGAGATGAACTTTCACGTTTAGATGGTTATAGTGTATTAACACCATTTAATTCATGGACTGCAGCATTGGAACGTTGTTAAACATACATAAATATGGATATTATTTTAGGTGTCTTTCATTAAAGTTGATATTATTTCCAGTGATACATTTACTCTTGATCAACATTAATTATTAAACAAGTGTTCATATTAGAAAATTCCTGGAACTTATTTAACTTACATTGTTTGTTTTTCTCTTCATTATTCTATTTTAAAAACAGAAACTTTTTTTGTCTATCTAATTGTGTATAGTGTGTGTGTGTGTGGTGTTAATGTTTAATATGAAGATTTGTCATCAGAAATGTATGATAATAATGTGCATGAAATAGTGGGAATTATGTCAAACATTACAGACAATTGTTTTAATATATATACTAGTGAAATTTCCCGGCAATAGGAACCCGTGCTCTTTTTAAATAACAGAAAAGTTGAATTTTATAAGTGTCATTATTATTATTAACTTGAAAACATTTTCCGGAAATTATTCAACATTCTGAAAGACTTTGTTTTTGTTTTCAGGATTTCTTTTTATACAAAAGTTCACATTAGTTTTAATCTTCATCAAATCGTATATACATGATATTATTTTTACATTGAAAACCTAATTTTTCATAAAATCCAACTTTTTCATTACTACAATCAAGTGAAATTTTATAACATCCCATATGTTTTCCTATACGAACCAGGGTATCAACAAGTCTGGAAATAATAGATAAACAAGTTAATCAATGGGTTTTTATGTTTCTCAAATAATATAACAATAATTCATTAATGGTTATAGATACATCACTTCACATGCTTAGATAGTGTATATGTGTGTCGAAATATAAGAATGATTTTGAGTCTCTTAGACCAATGACCACATTTCAACCTGATTTATGGAATTAGACTTGCATCAAAACATTATACGAACACGACTCACTAGTCAATCAATTGTAAATATTTCAGTTTTACAGGCAATTGGAGCTTGAACAACCCAGTGGTAATGCCTTAGACTATAAAGTTGGATGAAGCAGGCTCAAATATACTGGAGACCGTGATCTCTGTGAAGATTACTCGTATGCCTTGCTAACAGGGTTTTCCTGTCGACTACCAACCATTTTAAAAATTTCAAGTCTTGTAAATGTATAATCGCTTTCCTGGGCAACTATATTACTCTGTTTCAGTGCATCAGTGCTTGAAGCCACCAACTTCTATTCTTAGCCATGTTGGTGAATGCAGACTACTTGGTTGGGGTCCTCGTGACTTTCGTAACCAATGGTTGGAGACTCTTGGTGACATGGCTCAGAGTCGATCATAATGGCGTCGGTGTATACACTCTCTGTCTTCCCTTAAACTAAGGGAATAAAATCGCTTCATATCTTTCTTCCTGTACTATATCCTTATTTCAATCTTTATTTTATATATTACCACCATTGATTTAACTACTCCTATGAATCTGGTGTTCATCTTGCTGTGCTAATGGAGTATGGCAACTTGGGCCGATGCATATATGTGCCTGGTCCTACGTTGTAGCTGACTGACTGTTGTACCACTGAATTATGTATAAAAATCTATTTACGACAGCGATGTAACCACTCATAGGTGCTCCAGTATTCTAGAATTATTACGGATTTCTCATTTAATAGTGGTTAATCACACGTTCAGATATTACGTTCATCGTACAACCAAATAAGAATAAATACAAGGAGAACGAATTCGTTCTAAGAATAACTGAGTGCACTTCTTTTTTAATACCCGTTTGCTTAGTTCCGCTAGATTTTCAGGCAATACTAGTCAAATGATTGTTCCAGTTTATCCACAATAATGAAACCGTTGGGTTTAGATATACCTGTTTTAAGCATATTAAGAAGCAGTACTGTTAAATTCAGCCATTATTAAGCAAATGTCATCCCACATTATGCACCAACGACCGACCCTAGGGCTGGTTGGAGAAAGCAGAGGTGATCAGTTCATGAGATGTTTCCAGGGTATGAAAAAAGACTACAGGACTGATGCCTGTCTGACCTTCACAGCTCCCTGGTTAGGGTTCTAAAGATAGTGCAATACAGTAGCTTGAGATCTTATCAGTTATGGCTCAGAATAGAAGCCAGTGGAAATTCTGCTTATTTTTATTCACTTATTGCTTCCCCTACTTTTTTATCCTCACCCTCCTTTATCTCTTCACAACCTTATTTGTTGTGTGGAACATTTTTATTTTGGTGCCTCTTTGTGCAAATATATGTTTAAACAGAAATTATTACACCATAACTAGTTCACATCGTGGCATTGGCCTAAGAATGATATCTTAAGACGTAGTCGAACTGACTTGTAATAATCGCAAGGTTTTCTTATTCTCTGACGCCATGAACTGCGTTTACCTTCAACTACAGGAAACAGTGTGAAGAAGACAGGCCTTGAAATTTTCTCATGTCGACAACAATCCTCTTAATATGATTGATAAATTAAACTGTCACTTACTAGGCCCTGCAGACTACTCTCAAGTAAGTCGTACAATGAAGTACTAATTATACGTTTCGTCTTACTTTCCCAGACGTTATTGTCTTTAACGTGAACAGTTGGAAGGCACTGTTTTGTAGGCATTCTACAACGTACAAATCTTGTTGTCATACAAACAACTCCATCTTTTTAGTCTGAAACTTCTGTTTTTGAAATTTTGGCTTCAACTCTAATCATCCGTTGATTTGTACACGAATGCCAGAAAGAAACAACTGGGAACTCTGTTCATGCACTTTTAGACGTAGGATAGAGGAAGTAACTAAGCATTTGTCGCTGTATAACTATTGTTTACGTTCTAATATCTGATATCGTTTTACCTCAACAGCAGTAATTTTTAACTTTACCAATACGTTAAAGCTCTGTAGCATAAAAAAGGTCCAAGGTGTTATTATATACAATATCAGTGGGATAAACACTGTGTTGCATTTGGCCCGCTGTAGGATATTGTACACATCTGAAGAGATTACTAACTAGTTACCTATTCAACTGTACTTTTAGTTTCACAAGTCACTGGGTTTCACTTCTCTCAACAAAATCTTACGAATCTAATGCACATATGTTTAGTTTTCACACATCTAAATGCACTCCTTCACAAACTTTATTGAAATCCTGAAGGACGCTGCGGAGCATTTCCCTCCCTCTAAATCAAAAATGCTTTAGTATTTTTCTGTATTAATGTTTAAATTAGTGATAAGGAATGAATTTATTGAGGGCATTGACGGCATCACTTGTAAGTCTCATCAGCTCTTGTGGGTTGGTGGGCATGGATTTAGAGTTCGCTTGATTCTTGCGAATGTCCCATAAATTTGCCATAAGAGACGTCTTTCTACCATCAAGGGACGAGTAAGTTGAACAGTAGTCCACCCTGTTTTACTTTATGTTTATGAAGTGCAGCGTTCGAAAGTAGAGAAAATTGGTAGGCCACTAGCATTTGACTGCAGATGTCTTTGAAGCATTGCTAAGATAAGGAGGTACAGAGGATTGAGCAATGTTGAACTTAGACAAAGAGCAGTAGGTACAGATGAAACCGGTTAATGAGATTATGAGTTTCATCAACTGTGATGGTATAAAAATGTATTATGTTTGCTCAACTAGTGCCTAGCTCTTAATGCAGTGTTGGTCAGAAAATGATTAGGTTGGAAAAAATCTGAAGGAGTCTAAACCAAGACATACATCAGCCCGATCGATCATTGACTGTTGGTCTGAGTAACGCTGATAGACAGAGACTGCCTGGAGGACAACCATACGGCGTTTGCAACGAACTTTGAAAACATTAAGCCACGTAATTTAAGATATATCACATTCGCATAAATGGGCGTACTACTCCCTTTATCTAAGTTTGAGTGAAATGTGATTTCACGCTTCCCATTCCCTTATTCTACCTATGCTTTGCAGACCGTATTTTCTTTATTAGAACATACCGTTGTGGACACATTATTTCAACTCATCTGGTGTTCATCCTGCTAATTCCACTTTTTTTTACAGATTTGGGGTGATGCATTGATCGGTGCAAATTTGCCCCAGGCTCTAAGTTGATGACGACTAACTGACTGAATCTCTATAAAATTCATCCCTTTTTGAATTCCTTAAAATGTTTTAAAATATAGATATTTTGAAAATGTCTGTACTTTTAGTAGGTTTGTTTCACCTTTCTACTCCAGCGAAATATTTTAATGCAATTTAAAATTTCGAGTAATCATTTTGCATTGTCAGTAAGTATATTAAAATCAGATTGATATACAAGATATGTGACAGTACTTACAATTTATTACAGACAGAAAAAAACTAGTTTGAAGATTTAAACCCTCGAAAAGATACTTTCTAAATTGAGTGAGCAGTCTAAAACGGTTGGTAAATTTTGACTGAGCAGAAAAATACAAAACAAGTTGGGTGGCCGTAACCCTTAGACTTATAAACGATACGGGGATTAATCACATTCGCTACATATTTATTTCCGTCGATTTTTATTAAACATTTAAATTAACAGTTTACTCGACTTATAGTGGGATCTAATCGGTGCTATCAGAAATCAACTGTTAAAAAGTATGTTAATGAGAAGGGTTAGAGAAAATCAGTATTATAATATATAGAGCGGAGGTCTTATCTACAGGTTTTAAAGTCATGAGATGCTTAACAAGGAACCATGATATAGTGAAAATGCAACTTACAGTCTTCCAAAATTCATCCCGCGATATCTTGAATCAACTATAACATCCTCAATATGACCACGCTGAAAACATATCAAGCAAATTTACAGCTACCTTCGAACATTGGTGAATGAACTTTAACTCTATGAAGAGAGTTGCTGCCCCAATGATTCTACTTGTTGTAGCATCTTCTAAAACTACAATAAAATATGTATCCAAGCAAGAGGCCATCAAAGAAAATCTTTCTAATGAAGAATGTTAATTTCAATATTTATTACCATCGAATTCTCTCTGTTCTATCTTCCCAACTACGGTTAACTGTTTTAATAAAGCAAGATAATCTAGCAGTCAATAGCAAAATTATGAAACTACCATAATCAGATGATAATAGAGGCCGTATTTTCGGAATCGTTTTAGGACTCTGAAAGTTTATATGGACTACATGTTTCTTGATCAATTCAGAACAGTTGATATGTTCTAGTATTAAGGGGTCAAACAACGACAAAACAGCCATATCTCAAATAAGCGCTTGTCCGTAAAGCTGAGTCACCTTGATAAAATTAGACCTGACAAACAAAGTCTAGGTAGGTAACATGTGTTTCTACAAAATGCGAACAGAATCAAAATGAAAAAATTATTCGTCTTTTCAAAATCCTGGTTATCGTATTCGAATTTTCTTCAAAACAATTTATTCTGCACTTAAAATAACAGATAAATATCGTCAGTTAACTGTTATTTGTAACGTTTGTGGTTGTCATAAGTCAGCAACATACTGACGACTTCAATGAAGTTGTGATAATTCATTTTGGTTGGATAGCGTGACACGTATTAGGCACTTTGTACAACGTTGTTATTACCATAATAATATACATATCATTTTGGAATGGATAACAGGCTTGTTGTCTTGTGTAATTCTCTGGAAGATGTAGAATCATTCACATACCTAGGAAGCATCATCGATGAACAAGGAGGCTCAGATGCAGACGTAAAGGCGAGGGTTGTCAAAGCAAGGACAGCATTCCTACAGTTAAAGAACATATGGAACTCAAAACAACTGTCAACCAGTATCAAAGTGAGAATCTTCAATACCAACGTCAAGGCAGTCCTCCTGTACGGAGATGGAACTTGGAGAACTACTACAACCACCATCAAGAAGGTACAAGTATTTATAAATAGCTGTCTACGCAAGATACTCAACATCCATTGGCCGGATACCATCAGCAATAGCCTTCTGTGGGAGAGAACAAACCAACTTCCGGCTGAAGAAGAAATTTGGAAAAGACGATGGAAATGGATAGGACATACATTACGCAAATCGTCAAACTGCGTCATGAGGCAAGCGCTAACTTGGAATCCTGAAGGGAAGCGAAAAAGAGGAAGGCCAAAGAACACATTGCGTCGGATAATAGAAGCAGATATGAAAACGATGAATTACAACTAGACGGAGCTAGAAAGGATTGCCCAGGACAGAGTTGGATGGAGAATGCTGGTGAGTGGCCTATGCTCCTTCACGAGGAGTAACAGGCGTAAGTAAGTAAGTAAGAAATACACTTGACCTTTATGCCACTTCTGACTGCTATCGATTAATTTTTTCATTCGACTTCTGATTGGCTCTCCATATCGCATATAACAAAAGCGACGATGTTAGGAGACTAAGAAAGTCATTTTATATCGTACTTGTCTTGTAGACTGGACGCATTATGTTTTTCTCCCAGTGATTTGATAATCTTCCTTGTGTTACAGATATACTAAAATATGTAATTTGGGGAGTTATGACAAAATTTCGCAGTTTCTTTGGTAATCCAGGGTGAATTTTATCGGGTCACATGGATCTACACCTATCATAGTTATTTGACGGATCGAAGATACCGAGTTCTTCACTGATCACAACATCACTAGTGTTTATGAAATGGTTGTATGGACTGAAGGGTAAAGCATTTACATGTTATATATAAATTGCTAAAAAAACTTGAGAATACCTGAGCACTACCATAATCGTCCTTCGCTAAAGATGTGGTACTACTGTCTGCCCATAGTACTTGCATTCTTCCACTCCACTTTGATTTTGGTTCATATGTGAATATAAAAGGTTGGGATATTCTATGGACTTCTTTGATAGCTGTTTTTGCATACAACTCCCCTGACATGTGGATAGTTGGTGCACAAATATTTCGACCTTTCCAATATTGAAATTTGTCTCGTCAGTTCTCAGTAAACTCAACCTCCCCAACATTCTTGTCTTCTTACGTGGAGAAGTGAGAATCTCCTAGTGAAGATGGTTCAGAGTCCTGGGAGTACTTCGTTAGTTCTTCCACGTGTTGCACTTGGAGACATATGGTAACCGCGTCAACTGAACTTAGTTCGAACAGAGTTTTTGGCTACTCATTCCTCAGATTTGCTGGTCCACCTTAGGTGCATTGAAGTCCTCTAAGGTTAAACACTAACCATTTGAAGACCAAGTATCAAGACCGTCCGGTAAGACTGTAGTGGCATTGGACCATAACCACACAATCCTCAAAGCTGAATACGAGATTACTCAGAAAATAGATATTCAATATTTAACGCGAAGAAATACCTAACGATGGAGAAGGCGCGACTAATGAATTGAATAGACTAGAGTTGATCGAACGGCATGGCTCGGCCATGCAGGCGTGGTCTCTGCTGAATGTTACCTTATATCTTCTTTTCATATTAAATATATTGTTCTTTCTCTAGCCTAACCTTGTTCTACATCATGTATTGGTAATTGATACGATACAGTGAGTTGGTGTAGTCGATGGTGTGACTTCCACGTAAGATCTTATAGATTAGGCAGTCATATCATGACAAATCTACAAATTTAGGATTAAGTCTATTAATAGAGCAGTACTAATATCATAGTAGACCATAAGTTCTACAAGACCTCGTTGATCTCATAGTTTGAAACTCGATGGACGATGTTGATTTATTGGTTGGCTAGGTTGTTGATTTTCCTGCTTGAAACGAAGCTGATTTTGCGACTAGGCTTTTCTCGAAAGCTTTCATTTAGAGTTGAGGGAACTAAAAATACTTTCTTGAGTTTCCATTCGTAACAGATCATTTTGAAGTTTGTTTTTCCTTCTTTGATCCGTGTAAGCTAATCGGCTCTGAGCTGACTCGTGATGATCTCACATGAATTTATGTACTGACAGAGCGAGTGACGTTTGATCTATGTCGATAACGCTTGCTAATGTGTCGTTCAGGATCATTTGCCATTTCAGTGGTCACCGGTGCGAAGTCGTTTGCGTCCCAACAGCGTTTCTGACACAGCAACATCCATCCAATTTACTGAGACATTTGTAGGCCTCATACGTGATATTTATGCAAACGTCGTGGTACCATTCTCTACACACATCGTACTGAATGCCGCTTTCTACAGGGTAATGACAGCACATTCGTCGACAATTGCTTTCTCTGCACTGTAGGCTTTTCTTTTCAGAAATCTTCTCCCAAAGAACTGCGACATCTTTATTTTCATTGTTATGTAGAAAACGCTTGAAAACTCAGAATTGCAGATATCCTCAATTTTTGTACGAAAATCTACAATGCTGATGTGGTGCAGATCGTCAATGCTCCAACCTCAGAGTAACATCCACTGGGTGTGACACGTTGGTGGAAATGAGCTTGTAAGGATAGCGGATATGCAGACCGTGAGTGGCTCGATTATTATGTGTCGGTAGGCTATCTTTATTGAGGGCAGGCGAAAATCTAACGGGATTTCGGGAATCAGAAGACTTTCGAAGGCATATATGACTTTCTATGTGGGATTGACTGGAGTGTAGTTTATATTATCTGATTATGTGTTTCTGTAGGTCCTCAGTTTCGTTAGCTTCTACACTGGTCCCTATCGACGATAAAACAAGACGACCAAAATTTTGGAGCGTCTTGTGCTTAATTTAATAAATAATTGACATTATTGATTGTCCATTCGCAATTGCCACGTGTTATTTATTCATCTAATTTTTACCTTCAGTTTCATATTATGATTGGTTTTACTATGACTATCTCGACTATGCAGAGAATGCGAAAGTGACCAAATGAATTGTGTTCGTAGTGCATTTGAGATAAAAATTTTGCTAAGTCAATGTGAGAATGTTACGAGTAAGAAGACCATCCATGGGTTAACTTAGGATCATAGGGCCTAAGCTAGTTTAATAAAGACTAATTAGTGCTTATGTTGTGTTAGAGTCGCGACAGTGTACAGCAATAACAAGAATGTAAGAAAAATGTTAGGAAAAATTCACACACCTATGTGTGGTTTGGGGATGGCGATAAACTGGCAGCAGAAAGTAAAACATATCCGAGTCAGCCACGACCGAGACCTGGGAACTTGAACAAAATCGTTGGAAGATCAGCAAGACATATTGGCTGAATTTGGTTACATGAGAAGTTGTAGACGTGTATATAGGCAATATTCAATCTCAGTTGGCCAATAGACGGTAGAGTCGTAGGGAGTTGTGGTACAGAGCCTGGCTATGAAAATGTACTCCGACGTGCGAGCATACTGCCCGACAAAAAGACGCGTCGTCTTTACATACATTGCTTACCTGAGTTACTGTTGTTTCAGTGTCATTGTTGTTGGTCGTTACACTAGATGAATCTTTAGGTTTCAATGAAGTAAAATGTCATCTGATGGAAAATTTTGATATGAGACGTCAAAGTTCATCCGTCGTTGCTATCGCCGTTGATAATGAACAATTGGTTCCGTATGTACAGCACTTTCCGTTCATTTGCGAGGTCATTAGATCTCAATAGCTGTTGATTATTATCACTCAAAGTGTGAAGAAGTCATTTGAGATTAAATGAGACTTTCTTGCATTGGATTTTCGGATTTTAGTTGTCTCAGTCGGTTATTTCGTGTTACATTAAATACAAATTTTGGTCCGCATTTTACTCGTTACAGGCATTACAAAAATGGTCAGTACTCTTTGGGACTAGACTACGCCGTGAAGGTGGGACAAATTCATTTTGCGACACGAAACAGCACTCAAAGACACATATAAATGTTCATGGGATTTGAATATTCAGTACTGAAACTTTCTGCTGGTTTTTCCAGAAGAAGACTGGACATCTACTATAACTCCTAGGGTCCTGAAACGGAATACTACATATGATTCCTATCACCACTCATGACTGACAACCTTTCCTTTATGGTTTATGAGGTGTTGAAAGAGGAGCTTTAACTATTTGTTGTAAAGCGCCTTTCCTTAAACTTAAGCTTGATATTTCTATGAATTAAAGTATCAAAATTTGAAATGGTCAAGCTTTATATTGATTAACTTTAAATTGATGATTGAGGACGGAAGGTCTGTGCAGGCTTTGGGGTATGAGCACTCCTGAATGTATGTTTAATTAACTAGTATCTTCACTAGTAGGAATTATTCACACTCTAGTGGGATTGAATGGACAAAATTTAACGCTATAGTTAAAACTCTTTGTAATTGAGTCAGTGTGGTAACGTATATTGGTGCTAGGATTATCAGGAGTTGTTTTATC